AGACCTCATTTACACGTACAGAAGCATACATAAACACACAAATGCATATACAAACTTTACATGTAGAGCTGGCTGGCTACCTGTCTTGAGTAAATAATGCATCTGATTTTGAATCCCACCCCAAACCTGAAGCAGAGCATCAAGCAGAGGCCAAAGCCAGCCTGGCCGCAGGTGCAAGCAGTGCCCTCAGACCCAACACTGAGGAGCTGCTCCTGGGCAGAGCAGCCCCTGTGCTGCTGCTCAGCCCTGCACCGTCTCCCTTTCCATGCCCAGCTGCCTCAGCTCACAGCACTTCAGGTTTGGGAATACTTCACTGACCAAATATTATGACTTGAAAGCAAGGAAGCCAGTAAATAAGCAGACTGAGGATGTGGCTTCTAACGGATGAAGTATGTGCTTTTCCTTCCCTCTGCCCACCCAGCCGAAGGGGGAAGGAATACACATAATTTACCAGCCAGAAAGGCTCATCGAGTGCAGGCGGCCTGAGAAATCCAGTCCCACCCCTCCTCTCCCTTCCTGGGGGGAATAGAGAAATTACAGACCACCATGCACCTACCTGTAGCATTAACAGAAAGCAAGTAGCAGGAACTGGGAGAAATAGGCTCACATTTAGTCTTTGAACTAAAGGYTGCAGCACTGAACAAAAAGCAGGATTTTGTCTATCAGCTTTTGTAATATATTTGTAAAAATACAAAGGCAGTTTATGCTTTAAGCTTTGAGCCTTAACACTTTATGCTTTATTTCTCTTGGAGATGAAAAGAGGCTAACTCGCTTCTCCCTAGAAGATTTAAGGAAAATCCCGTTGACTTTGAAGCACCATCCCCAAGAGTTAGTTACTTGCATAGAGAGTCTCTGTCTATAGATAATTCTTCCTCCTTCTAACTGATGTTAGGAGTTATTCTTTTCCAGACACTTCAGTGCCCAGCTTTGCCTAGTAAATGCTAGGGTGGATCAGAGGTTACGTGGCTTCCCAAATCTTTAATCAGCCTCACAATTTATCTTCAGCATATCACACCAGCCCTCCGTGCCTCAGGCTCCTCACCAGCAAAATATCAATCTTGGCACTTCTTAAAATCCTTTGAAATCCACAGCGGAAATGTTACAGTTGTGTCTTATCCTCATACAATAAGAAGGAGGGATAAAAATTATAATAGCRAATACCTCTAACAAAAGGGTCCCAACTACAGAGAGGGTAAAGTAATAGGGATGGGGGACAGCTGCACTAGAGGCAGCAAAAGGTAGGCAGCAAGTGAGCTCTGGACCAGATGATGGAAAAAAAAGACAAATTTCAAAGGGGAGAAGAACTGAAATAAAGTTTTCATACTCAACCCTTCARCATTTCTCTTGTCCCTCCCACCCTGTTCCAACCTCTCAAGATATCAGTGACCACAGTGAAAGGGCCAAAACCAGAGAAATTCCCAAACCTGGGAAGTGACCCCATGGGTAGGAGCCCAGCGAGTGCAGCCAGGCCCTGCACCCCAGGGATGCAGACAGGCTCCCCAGCAGCAGCCCTTCGCCTGCAGCTTGTGGGTCAAGCCAAGGGCTCCAGGCAGCAGCTCTGCACTTCCATCTAACACACACCCATTCATCTAGCTAAGCCTGGGCCCAGCACTAGGCTGCCAGAGCCTTGCCCCTGCTGCTGTGCCGCCCCAAGCAGTGCCCTGCCACCCCCCAAAGACAACCCTCTGCCTTTTCCACCCTCCAAAAATAACCCCCTGCCTTGCAAAAGGCAGCACCTCTTGAGGCACCTGCAATGTTTTGGACACCTTTACTGCTCAGCTGGTGCCGCAGCTAAATGCCCTCCTGTGAATACCCGTGCTGTAAGCACAAGCATTTAATACCCATCTCCCTTTACATCAGTTGGTTCACATAGAAGAGGCAGAAAATTAAATGTGCTTTTATACTGTATGCAACATACCATGTTCTTCCCCCCGCCCTTCAAATAATATCAAACAGGCAAAAGATGTTAATAGACTTAGCCAAGATCTTTTGGGATGATCAAATGGACATTTTGGATTAAGCAGCTCTCTAATTAAGCTCTTAAATGAGGATGACCTAATCTCTCTCATATAGATATGCTTTTACATTATGAAAATCTTATCCAAGGTCAAAGTTAAAGAGCAGAAAGAACATGTAGATTTACTTGCCTACATTTTATTTGCTGGAACAATATTATCTAGCACTGACAAACTCCTTGGCACTTACCAAGAACAGAAAAACACTTCAGGGACAAGATGATATTCGCTACCAACATTTCTTAAGCATTTACTTATTCATTTTCTCATTTTTAAACAGTGCATAGGAAACACTTGCCACATTTTTATGAGCAGATATCAAAACCATATTAGAAGTGTTGATTCAGGCAGAAAAAAATCAGGCTGAGAAAAACTACCTTGCCTACATGCTTCCAAGTTAGCACATATAGACACACAAAATGTAGGGCAATTTTAATGCCTGCTCCAGTTATGTCAAACACTTTTCAACCATAAAACACACAGGCACTGACGTTTACAAAGTCCAGCTGATAGAGGCAAAAAAAAGCCTTGAGCAGTTGCCAATCTTTGCTCAAAGGAGTCTCAGAACAGAGTAAAAGTGAAGGATAAGATACCTTTGGTGGAAGAAGTGGGTGTAGTGCAAACAAGCAGCAGATGAGCCATAAGGGACACTTTTTCCTAACTTGCATCAATCTTCACCTTATAGAAGTACTAAAAGCCTTATAAATAATTCAGCAGACTAATGGACATGTTTTTAAACATTGTGGGCTAATTTAAAAGAAAAAAAAAGTAGCACATTGGCAGAGTAAGAGCATATAAACAGAAAGCTTTCTCCTCTGTGGTAATTTTGAGCAGCCAAAACCATTTCTCGCCATGAGCACAGTGTTTCAGCAGCAGCACTTTCTTCCTCTAGAACTCAAGCAACACAAAGCAGCAACATACTGAAGAGTAAACTCAGTTTTAAGGGAGGAAGAGCAATTTGTTATAGAAGGCTCTCAACAGCCTTGGGCTGCACAGATTGGTGAAAAATACAACTGCAGCCTTAAGCACTTGATGACAACAGCCCCCACCTCAACTCTTCCTGTTTRCTCAATTCAAACCCTGAAGAAATGCAGCCCAAACCCCAAAAGCCCAACACTGCAGAGAGGAAACACACTGACCTGAACACTCTTGCAGGACATCCATGCCCAACTGCAAGTCCCAAAGCAAGAGGGGGGGCCCCCAGGCACCCCCAGTCTCTAGCAGCAAAACTACCTCCTTGCTTCACATTGCAATATAAGCASTCCACACCAAGTGCCTGCAGCTGCCTGATCCATTTCCTAATCATCCTAAAAGAGACCCTCCTGGCCGAGGGTATCCAGCTGCCAGGGAAGCAAATCAGCCGTGTTGCTGACAGAGGCTGGGCTCGTGCCCTGCAAGCCTCGGCCCCCACGCTGGGCGAGCTCCTGGTGCAGCAGGTTGCAGTGGCTCCCTCGCACCGTGTGCTTGAGGCACCAGCCTCTCCCATGGTGTGAGACACAGGGTGCTCGGTGTTCGTGTCAACAGGATGCATGAAACAAATGCAAAATACACGGACTGCATCTTGAGCATGCGKTTTGCCACGTGCCCATGCTTGCTGCTCGGCATGTTTCATCTAGTTATGACAGACCTGGCTCTGCCCTTGTGTTATTTTATGGTTCTCCTTGGCTTCAGAGTAGCATGAGAGGACGCTGTCATAAAGGTCACCAGTAAATCCCCCTGATATGGAAATATTTTCAGCTTTGAGTGAAGGAGCCCTTTTCACATAAGGCAATACTGTCTTTGCAGGATTTCTTGATCCAAAATAATCTGCACAGTTTATAGCTGGGGTAGATGCAGAGGACCTGGGGAAAAGCAAAACTCCTGATGTCCATGGATGCAATATTCTTACCAAGTAACCACTGAGGTCCCCGGCTACTGGCGCTTTCTTTTTCCTTTACCAGCCTGAGACAGCATGAAGGCACAATAACGAAATGCTAAACTTCCCACCATCCTGCTCTGCAGCTTGCTACAAGCAGCACATTGGCTCTGATTTTTTTTYYTWWTWWTTTTTTTTCATATTATTATTTTTTCATGATACCTTTATTAAGTGCCCTGCTAGGCATACTTTTCACTTAACTGCTGTCATCACATAAGTTAATCCATGCTTTCTGTGACTAGGTTGCACTTTACTGACAGGTTACTTCAGAGCTGTGACAGGTAAACAAGTATGCACACTGTTTAGCTACCGCTATGCAGTTATTTCTTGATAACTGGACAATTAAATTGCCCTGTCAGTGGGTCTCCCATCTGCGGCCACCTCATGGAGCAGAGCAGTTGAGTAACAAAGCTCATTTTGAAAGCACCCTAAAAGCCAAATAAGGGGGGTACACAGATAAACCAGGCCTTTGTGGAGCTGGAATTAAGTTTGATAGCCTCATATAGAGGAAACACTGGGAAATRTATTCCGCACACTGTTTGTACAAATTCTTCTCTTTATGTCCCTCAATGAGGAGATCAACAAAGCAGTGGCCATGTAAAGAAGAAATATAATAATGCTGATAAATAGAAAGAAGTTATTTTACCTTCAAGGAGATATCAATGACAGTGATATTTAGTTGAGATATCATTGTTCATGAAGGCTTGGAAGTTTTGTGTTTTGGGACTTCCTTATCAATCTACAGCGCTGACACCTCAAAAGCGTCTGGTGGCTCTGCATGTGGGGCCGTGGCACGGCAGGCAGCTTGGCGAGCTGATTCTGCAAATAATAATAATAATAATAATAATAATAATAATAATAGCAACAACAACACCTCAGAAATGTGGGGGGCAGGGTGGGGGGAAACAAGCCCTGATTTCAGATGTGAGGGAGCTTAGAAAGTGGGGCTGGGTTAGTGCCTGCTGCTGCTTGTGGGTGAGGACGCGAGGCCTTGGCACATCCTGCCTGGGAGCCAGGGCATCCCCGGAGCCGACGTCCCGCTCCTGAACAAGCTCTCCTGCCCCTCCCAGATCAGCATCTTCATGACCCACCTGTCCAACTACGGGAACGACCGCCTGGGGCTCTACACCTTTGCCAACCTGGCCGCCTTTGTGAAGAGCTCCACCAACCTGCGGCTGCGGACGCTGCCGCCGCTGCAGCTGGCACACAAGTACTTCCAGCTCTTCCCTGAGCAGACCGACCCTCTCTGGCAGGTAACAGCCCTTGGCTGCAGCGCACGGGCTGAAAAGAGAAACTTTTCTTGAAAAAAAAAAAAATATGCCCACCGTACATTATTATGTTTTTTTTCCCRATGATTTTGCAAATGATCTGAATTTTTTCACAGATTTTTGCCTAGAAATGGGCTGGCTTTCCCAATCAGCCAATATCAGGTGCATTAAAAGCATCCGATTGCCCTTCCATGCGACAGCCAGGGAAGCAGAGGCAGCAGGGCTGGGAGCAGCAAGCAKGGCTGGATGGATGGGCAGCTATTTCCAGCCTGCAAGAGGGCTTATGCACAGCATACAAATGACCGCTTTCCATTTCCAGTGCACAATAGTGCTGCTTGTATTGTAATGTTCAAATCATTGTTATACTTATCTGGTTCCTCTCTCATTCAGGGTATGATGTGCCACGTTGTGCTTTTAACTGTGCAGACATAAATCCAGAGTGACATTGTGGCGATCCATGCAGTTATTTCAGATTTTTTCTAGGAAAAAAAGGAGAGGAAATTTCCCCTATTTGGCCCAGATGCAAAAGAAGGAGAAATCCAAGACATTTCCATAGAGTTTAGTGGAGCTRCAATGATTCCCATCACATAATGATTTTCTCCACTTTATTTTGTTAACGTTATTCACTGGCAAACTGTATCTTCCATCAGCAGCAAATGCTATGCAAAAGCAGGATGCATATGATACCTGCCTTAAAGAATGCTTAATCCTGACCTTTTCCATGATGATTTTTGCTCACACGTTTTTATTTTCTATTCATAGGTAGTAGAAAGATAAGGAGATTAATATTATCTCACATTTCTGTTTTGTCCCTCCTTTTGGATTCTTATGTAAATAAGATCATCACTAAGCACTATGTGTCTGAAAACATTTTGTCAGCTAAGAAAGTAATGCCTTGAAGCTATTCAAACAGGTTTCCATTTTAGCCTCAAATGAAAGACCGATTAAATCGATGTTTTAATCTTTTTGTCCTTCCCTTCACTCCCTTTTTTTAATCCTCCATCATGCAAAACCGTGATACACACACCCAATTCCCACCAAAGGGACTGCCCAGGTCAGTGCCTATGGCCGCAGACCTATAGCCCGAGGACTCTGAGCTGGGGGAAAGGGCCGGGCTCGCGCGGAGGCGGGAAGCAGGAGCCTCACAGGGCCTGGAGTCTGGCACTGCGGCTGCCACGACGGGAAGAGCTCTGCAGCTTGCCCAGCTGCCCTCCCGGCAGCCCCCCAAGCCTCAGGCCTGCTTGGTGCCGGGCAGCACCGTGGTGGTCCCTGCTCACCGAGGCGCTCCAGGCTGAGCCGAAACGCAAGCGCTTCCATGGAGCCAGCCCTTGGGAATTAACTCCCAGGAGGAAATCTGGGYTCTTACTATGAAGCATAATGCTCTGGCATTAGCGTATAGCTAGTGGAGCCTGCAGTGACCAGCAGGCATTCAGTACATTTAGGCCTAGCATGAGCATTTGCATGAGGATTTGCCTTCTTTTCTCCTTCAGAACCCGTGCGACGATAAGCGACACAGAGACATTTGGTCCAGAGATAAAACTTGTGACCACCTGCCCAAATTCCTTGTCATAGGACCTCAGAAAACAGGTAGGAAACAAGGTGTTTTTGAAGCCTGTGCAGGCTGGTAGCACCCGCCAGGTCTGCCCACGTGTATTTGTCTCCGTTATGCTGAAGGTGGCTCCCACGACAGCACCCAGCTGCAGTGGTCACACATTGCCAGTACCCGCGAGATTCCCATATCGGCTCCTGCACGGCCCAAAGTCAGGCACAAGGGCTCCTGTGGTGACACRGCTCTGCCTTGCTCTGCCATTCCAGCCCTCCCAGGATGCATCACCCTTCTCAAGCAGGAAAGCATCCAAACTGCACAGCAGCCTCTGCTGCCTCTAGGGCAAGATGCTTCGAAATAAGTGAGGAACAGTTAATTTGGTGGTGTGTTTGGCTGACTTCTTTTCAGCACARAGAGGTAGCTCTCCGTTTTAGGGGGACTCTCCTTGCAGTGATATTCTGCTGTTTCTCCTGTCATTTTTTTAGATTTTATTGTGAAAACAGGGTGAAATTCCCCTCAGGCTCATCCCTATTTAAAGCAGATATTTAAGTAGTATTAACCTACCAGCTTCRTGCTCGCAGCCCCTCCAAGGTTGGGTTTCACTGTCCCAAATTTCCTACAGCAGGAGGGAAGCAGGGCGACTGGAAACATGGGAAGCCAAAGGCAGGTAACTAGCAGCCTTTGCATGCACCTGTTTAAGGGATAATTTTACAGTGACTTCTTTCTCAGGTGCTGAAGGGAGGATGCAGATGAGAATAGCAAAAAGAATTAAGCTGCTTCATTGATGGTTTCTATTAGAATATATTTATTTTCACTCTCAGGGCATGGACTTAGGAAAGCAAAAGAGGCAAGGGGTTGTACAGCAGCTAGGCAGACAGGTAGCACATTCACCTATGTCCACTGCTGAGTTCAGTGCCTCAATGAAGAGAATCCACACCAGAAAACAGTGCAAAAACAATGTGCTGTCATGGGGCCCTGAGTTAAATTTGTCATTTGTATGCTTTGACAAATTATCTCTACATCTTTTGAGATCCTAATTGCCAGTAAACACACCACCTTACAGGCCTCTTTGGAGGTCTCGGGACATTATTTAAATTAAGCCACGTATTCCCACTCCCAAGATAGCCATTACTGTTATTGACAAAGCACAGAAAGTGGATGCTGAGGCAGGGAAATAAATGACTGATCCAAGATTATATAGAAATTATATGACAGTGACAAAGAGAAAGGAGTTCTTGATTCACAGTCTGGTGCTATTTTGCATAGCATAAAATCACTGAAGAGCAATTTTAAAGACACATTCTCCTGCAATTTCATTTAACATCATCTATCAGCGTTTTTTTTACCAAAGAAGTAGCAGAAAATTATTGTTATTGTGATTTTAAAATATACTTATTACACACAGGGTTGTTGCCATTTAAATATACAATGTCACTTGGAAGAGTTTTACCCCCAGGAAAAATAGAGTACAAATGTGCAGTGTTGGGAGCAACAGGAGCCTATTCCCACACTGGGTACCCTTGAAAGCTCCGGACAGTGTACAGATTAAAAAGAAACCTCTTCTGGCCCAAATCCATCCCTGCCTCAATACACGGCCAAGTGAGCAGGATCATCAACTACGACATCCCTGCTGCATCAGAGAGCAGAGTCTGGAAATGTGCAAAGTTTAGTGAGTGCAGGGGAGATCCCTGCTCAGTCCCGGGGAGATCCCTGCTCATTCCTGCCTCCCTCCTGCCTCCCTCCTGCCTCCCTCCGAAAGCACCTCTCAGGCAATTTTCTTAGAACGATAATCTCTCCCATTTTACAGTGTATCTAGATGTGCCTTGATTCAGAAATATTTGTTTAAATGAATAAAGTTTTTCTTTCCTGTTTCCTAATGGCATCTCTTTTTGTCGCTGTAGGAACAACAGCACTTTATCTATTTCTTCTGATGCATCCTTCCATCATCAGTAACCTCCCTAGCCCCAAAACTTTTGAAGAAGTTCAGTTCTTCAATGGAAACAACTATCACAAAGGAATTGACTGGTAAGAAGAATAAAAAAACAGAGTCTTCCTCATTAACAGATGCTAAATCACAATGGAGCAATTACAGAAGTATGTAATGCAGCTGCATAATTACTGGATGAATTTGTTATCCTTGGCATTACCAGGGAGAGTGAGAAATTCCTTCACAGTAATGGGACTTTTAATCAAGTCCTTAATTTTGTTTAGATGTTACAATAACAATATCTGTATTTTATAGCAAATGAATACAACAGCAAGCTCAGTTGTGATGTCTGTCTTCATGCTGAATAAAACCTCTTGTCTTTTCATAACTGTATCAATTTCAAGAGAGATGAGTTACAGTCTTTTACTTAAAATGGATCTTTTCATGAAGCAAAAGTCTGTTCTTCGGGAGAAAAAAAAAAAAAGCAAACTGTCCATAAAGAATTTTAGCTGATACTCCTGTTACAATTTTTAAACATTGCTCTTACAGTTTTTGCTTGAGGAAAGCCTTTTGTGGAGCTTTGTTTCTCCAGGGAACAACTGTTCTCATCCTGTGTAAAAACTGAGCTATAAGACAAACATCACATTGTACAGAAAAAAAATAATCTCCTTGGACTGCTTTCCCTGCCTGTGCACTCACACTGCATGGAGGGTGTCCAGACCCTGMGAAACTAGCTGATAAAAGCAAACCATCACTGCAACTGCAAGGCCAGCTTCTAGAGCCAAAGTGTCACAAACAATAAGGAGAAATAAATGCCTCGCATCTATTTTTCATACAGTGTGAACAAGTAGGCCTCACAAAGCTCCTGCTCTGACTCGAGGGTTGATCTGGGGTATTCACAAAGGGGCTGCTCATTCAGTCTGTGCATTCCCTGCTCGCTGCTGAGAGCTGCCAGGATTTGGGAATACCACAGGACCAAGAGATGCCCCTCTAATGCCCATGCATGCTAACCCTGGATTGCCATCCCCGGCCTGCCTTAACAGGAACGACCTACAGAGTCTATACCTATACCGGTGTGCCAGTAAGAGGAAGGAGCAACAGGACAAGCAGGCCCTGGGTGGCTGGAGCATTTGCATTAATTCCCTTTCTCCCATAAATAACTCTGCCAGAGAGAGAAGTTTTTGCTGCAGCTTCTCTCTTTCAAGGCAGAAGACATCCCTTCACGCACAGGAGATGCAGAGGAGGAGACAGACCTCCCTGAGATAGATCTCTGCTGCCACGTTGCACTCAAGCTGGCCCACAGCTTCCAATGCTGGTGGGATCATGTGTGTGGAGAGAGACCACACATACTTTGTTTCCACAGAAAAGTATATGGAAACAACTGGCCACAATAAAAYCGGAATTTCTTGGAGTTCCCAGCAATGCTCAGGGGATGAAAAAGCTGCCTCCAAAGCAGCTTCACATATTGCTTCGTTTAAATACTTAAACCTTTTGACTGAAACTTCCATTTTTCTTACTTTTGCTCTCAATGAATTAAAAAAAGACCATTCAAAGAAAAAAATTGAAAACTCTCATTTTGAAAAAGTCCAAAAGAAAATAGTCATCAATTGCTAAATGTAACATTTTGAGATGTTGAAATGAAGCATTTGACATCTGAGAGCTTTTCCCATTTTTTTCTGCAGCTAGAACTGAACTTCCTCCATACTGATGAGAGACTTCCCCCTGACATCCAACTTATCAGCAAAACTTCCATCTGTTAGAAAAGGAAAACTAACTACCTKACTTCATGGAGGCATCTGACATTACCAGCCCCAGCTAAAAGCTGAGCTCTTTTCCTCCTATTCCAGTTTTGGACTGAGATGAGAAAGTTATTTTTGCTTCTGAAGAATTACCTCTGAAAAGTCCCCTTGCCAGAGAGAAAACATACAGACATGTGCTCTCCTCCCACCCATCCACCCACCCACCCATCCACTTTTTTTTTTTTCTTTTTTTTTTGTATTGCTGTTTCTAAATGTTTTCTTCCCCTCCCAGGTACATGGATTTCTTCCCTGCTCCCTCCAACGCCACCACTGACTTGCTCTTCGAGAAAAGCGCCAACTACTTCCACTCAGAGGAAGCTCCTCGACGAGCTGCTTCCCTCATCCCCAAGGCCAAGATCATCACCATCCTCATCGACCCATCCGACCGGGCGTACTCCTGGTACCAGGTATGGATCTTGCCTTCAAGAAACAGGCAGGGAAATCAGTGTCAGGGCTTGGTGAACAACCCCGATGGGTATTAGTGCCCTTGAGCACTTCATGGTGGGGCACCAGTGCTGCCCACCCAGCAAGATACAGCAGGGAAGCAGGAGCTCTTTTCTGTGCGTGAGCAGTGGATGTGTCATCCAGGCTTTGCACGTCTAAGGAACAGTGCCTGCGTGCCAATGTGTGCAGCATCTTCTCAAGTTCCTGAGGGGTTAAAAAAATAAATAAATAAAACCACRTCTGAAGAGTAATGATTTCCATTTTTCCCCTGGAACAAAACAAAAAAGCCTATGGGTTTTCCTGGGAAGTGCTAGGATACTCCTGCTTGTCTCTTACTGAGCCCACACCTTTCCAAAGGGAGTCGATGCACTTTCTTAAGAGGCACAGAAGCACATATGCAGAGTGAGGTGCAGTTATATAAGAGAAGAAGGAGTGTTAAAACAGAGCCAAATGAAAGACACTGCATGAGGCACTCAGAAGAGTCCTTCTGATGCTGTCAGCACACGTCCAGTGAGGAAGGAGGCCGTGGGGAGCCGCGGGCAAACTGAGTTTATATGTCATTTCCAAATCGACTCCCTCTGAAGTGCCCAAAGTRTCCTCCTTATGGGAAAAAATGGTATTATACTTGCATTAGAGCCAGCAGCCACTGTCCAGTGTGGTAGAAGTGGCATTCCCCCATACCCTGAGAGGCAGGAGACCCTTTGGAAAGGAGGAGCTGACGAGACACAATTTTGCTCTCCATGGGAGGCAGCAGCAATTCCCTTGTTCCCTTCCCTTGGCTCCCGACTTATTCCCCCACGTCTCCATGACGTGTCTCTCCTTGTCTTCCATCAGCACCAGAGATCCCACGAGGACCCCGCTGCCCTCAAATTCAATTTCTACGAAGTGATCACGTCAGGCCAGTGGGCGCCCTCCGAGATACGGACCCTGCAGAAGCGCTGCCTGACCCCCGGCTGGTATGCTATCCACATCGAAAGGTGGCTGGCACACTACCCTGCCTCACAGGTAATTCCCATCCCGGCACTGCACCATGTGCACCCACCCTTGGGAATGCTSACATGGATCCAGTCGTATCGTTAGAGGTGATGGGGTGATTCTCCATGCGGCGTTTGGCTGCTGGAAAATGCAGATTTGTCAAAGATCAAAGCGGTTGTCARGAGCATGTTGATTTTTCTGTCTTCTGATGAAAAAGATGCAGCGTGAAAACACTATGAACTGTGGCCACCTGGGCTTGATCCAGGGCTTTTGGCTTCTCTTCTGGGGTTAAGCAAGGCTGTCAAGGCTGCTAGGTCCCCTGAAAGGAGCAGCTGCAGCAGGAGACCTTGTGGGAAGGTTTGACAAATTCATTTAAAGTATGCCAGGCCTTTCTCTAAAAGAAATTTCATCCCCCTCTCCCACTCATTCCTTTTCATAGAAAATGTCACATTTGTTTGATCCTGATACAGAATTAGCCTTTCTCAGTGCTGGAGCAGATATCCTTCCTTCTGCCCCATCTTCCTTCTGATGTTTCATCGAGTTGCCTCTCAGAATCTTTTCCATAACAAATTACGTAAACACCAGGACTCAGAGAACCTTCCTGCTATTACACAATGTTTATCTCCACATAGAAACCTAAGGCCAATGCCTTCATGCTACAGAACATATGCCAAAGCAGTCCCCTGTCTGTGCTCCATAGCCCAGGCCATACCTCAGCCTATGGTGAGAAAAAGATATCAAAGGGGTATTTAGTGAGCAGAGCCACATCTCCTGAGACTGCTCTTTGTGGGCCAGGATTTTCTGAAAGCAGGTAGCAGTCAGTGTTGTGTTGCTTGTTTAGTTGGGGTGCTGGAGGAGCGAGAGGAAATACGAGCTCTGCCTTTTGCTGTCCTCAGTTCTCTTTTTTTGCGCATTTCCAGTGAAACCATAGTCTTTTACTTCCTTTTTTACCCCGTGGCCTTTCGCCTCCTCCGTAGATAGGGAACCAGCAGCACCTCTCAGCAGACGGGCACGTGGGGCCAGGGCACATCCTCTCTCCGGCACCAGGRTCCCCCCAGGTCCCGAGAGGAGGGTGCTGAGCACCCAACGCGGCGGCCGGGGCGCCCCAGCTGCCCTTGCTCAGGGCTGCAGCAGCAGCGCATCACGGAGGCAGCCCCTCCGGCTCTGCACGCGGGAGCACCGTGGCACATCCCTTGTAAGCCGCTCCCCACTCGTGTTTCGTAGTTGTAGTGATGAATTTTACAAGATACACAACAAAATGCACTCGCTCCTAATGAGGTGCACGCAGCGAGTGCACTCCGGGTGCTTACTAATATGCACTCAGGAATGCGCRTTCACTCAGCCAGGGCACTCAAAAACTTAATAATTAATAATAAGCCTCCGCAATAAATATAAAAGGCATCCCTCCAGAGGAGTTAATATTAGTAATACTGTTTGGCACTCCAGTAGGCTCTTGATACCTACACTTAGCATTTGCTTGTGGAAATCAACGTACCTTTATATCACATATCACATCACTCTAATTAAAAACAAATAGCAAAGAAAACATCCTTTGCTAACAATTTTGCAAATTTATACAGTTGATAGGCTGGTGGTAATTCTCAGATAAATTACCCTCCTATTACTTTAGAGGATTTAATTCTAAGATGTATGAGCTTTCTATTATTTTTCCTATTTCATACCAGGTTTTTAACGAATGCAGTGTAACCTCCACAGTGTTCTAAATTTCTTTCCTTATCTCTTTTTCTCAGAGTTCTCTGAGTCAGGTTTAGCTTGCAAGGCTTGAACTCTTCTGCTTGAGCAGTGTACGCACAAGGAATTACAAGGTGCCCACCTATACACATCCAATATATTCAAGTACAAAAGCAAATCTGAAAAGAAGTTGACTCGCACAATTGTTACAGCATGGCACAAATGACATGTTAATTTAAACCCATGCAGTCACTAGTAAGGTCACAAGAGGGAAATAATGCCATTCTTTTGTTCACCCTCGTCCTTTTTCTAAATGGGTACCATATTTATCCCTGCAGTTGCTAATCATTGATGGACAGCAGCTCAGAAGTGACCCAGCTTCTGTGATGGATGAAGTGCAGAAGTTTCTTGGCGTCTCTCCTCATTACAATTACTCTGAAGCTCTAACGTGAGTCTGTGCCTCTAATATCTGCCCTCTGAGACCACATCCCCTCCTCCCAAGAGCAGTGGTCATTAATAACAAGCCAGAAAACTCCACAAGAACTTACAAGAATGACAACTTTGCGACACTAAGCAGTCTTGAGGAGGAGAGTTGAGTCATGTCTTCCTTTACCTTGCATGTATATAGTAAGTTGCAGAGTAGTTGTATGGTAGCACAGTATTTCCCAGTATATTTCCCATAGCATAAGCACTTGAACCAGTGTCGCTGACTTTTCACCCAGCCAGACATGCAGTCAGATACGCAGCAGGGAAGAATTTAGTCCCTATGCTAAATGCATGGTGAAATTGTAAGCTGCTAATAGCAGATGCCAGACCTGGAAGTGCTGGAACCAAGCATAGCCCCAGGAGCCTGGGCTGGCAGCCCCTTTTTGCCCGAGAGGCTCATAGTCACTTATGCAAAAGGTATAAACTGAGGATCACTTGAACATTTGCTGCTCCTCCAGTCTTAGGAGTGGTACTTGCCAAAACCTTTCTTTAGGGGAAAAAAATTGGATTTCAGAATGTAATTTTTTAAGTCATTGGTTTCTAAAGTAGACAAAATACAGAAAGAGTTTCAATACTTAGCTAAACTACTGATGTTTGAACAACTGCTATCGCACATTTCCAGCACCTTCTGCTATGCTTTTAAAAATACACACACATATATACATGTATCTTCCTTTGTGTAACTAAATTAAAGTCAGTGGACTCACACAGCAGGAAAAATCTTTCAGATTTATTTGGACAGGAAAAATGGGTTGTAAACAGTTTTATAAAATCAAGCAGTGAGTTTTTGGAGAAACAGAGAATGCAAATGTGGTGTGTGAACATACAGGTCTGCATGGATTGAGGAGGGAAGAGGAAAATGCATTAAGTGATGCAGCAGCTTCATGTTAGAATCATCAAAACAGAAAAGATTGCATAGGGTGCTTCCCCATGCAATCATTAGTTCCTGATAAGTGTATACCACACATCTTTAAAGTCATCACAGTGCAGCCTAAAGAGCCAGCCCTGCAAACACACAAGAGCAACAGGTTTATCATTCTGAGCAATCCCAGGAACAGCTTCAGGAAGAGTAAACTCAACCCAGGCCCAAGGAAGAGGATGGCCAGAGCACAGGACCYTCTGAAGCCAAGCAAAGGAGCAGTACTGCATCATTTCTTATACTCGTCCTAACTAGGACTTGTAGGTATTTTTAGAGCAGGGGAAAAAATAGGGGAAATGAGTCAATGCAATAAGGTTTTTGCACGTAGTGCTGTTTGTAAAACCACATTAAGCTCCTCAGGTAAAAGCTCTAGGASAAGGGAGGGTGTTAGTCACATTTGTGAGGTGCCTGCTCATGCACCGAAGGGACTTGTCCCCTTTCTCCCCTCACCGCTCCTTGCCACCAAGTGTGACYGAGGAGGGCTCACGTTTTTTAAGCATCTCAACCTGGAGCAGCCGGGACTARATTTACCACCGCGCTTTCCTTTCGATCCCGAGTGGCCCTGCTCCAGCTCAGGCGCTGCCAGCAGGGAGGTCTCAGCACCTGCCTCGCTCGGGTGACCCACAGCCCACRGCAGCCAGGGCAGAGCTCGTCCCCACAGCAGAGCTGGGCACTGGGGCGCAAAGCCAGGCCCTGGCAGCGTGGAGCTGCTGGCCTTTCACACAGCGGGAGCCAGGCCAGATCTGATCCTGCCATCCTGGGCCTTGCAGCACCCTCCAAATGGGGCCAGATCTGATCCCGCCATCCTGGGCCTTGCAGCACCCTCCAAACGGGGCCAGATCTGATCCTGCCATCCTGGGCCTTGCAGCACCCTCCAAACGGGGCCAGATCTGATCCCGCCATCCTGGGCCTTGCAGCACCCTCCAAACAGGGCCAGATCTGATCCCGCCATCCTGGGCCTTGCAGCACCCTCCAAAGGGGAACCCTCCAAGAACTGCCGCCTCCAGCTCTCCTGCCAAACTGCCTTCCCCGGGAGGAGAGCGGAGCCAGCTTGGGCAGACGGGAGGCGGTGCCGCAGCCGGGCTCCGCTCCCCACGGCATGGAGGCTCTCGCTGGCTCCTTGCRTTTCCTCACAAATGAGCAACAGGAGGGAAAGGGAAAGGCAGCAGCAGCAGGGCTAGACAAGTGTGCTGAAGTAGACGCTTTCTCCTGGAGCGCTGCTATGTTTCACCAGGGAATAGGGAAATCATCCTCCTGGCGCTGCTGCTTTAGTCTTTTCCAGGGAGATCCCTGGGGCCCCCTGCAGCCAAGAGAATATCAGCTCCAGCTCAGAGCCAAAGCAGCAGCCAAACCTGTCTTGAGAGACTGCTAAATGCAGGGTAAAACTTTTTTTTTTTAATGTGTGTGTGAAGGAGTACAGCTGAAAGCTGGGTTGTTAGAGACAGGAGTTGAGTCCCAGGGAGCTAATCCTTGCCACGGACCAGGCAGGAGGGTCTTCCCTGCTTTCCTGGCAGCAGAGAGGATGGTCTTGGAAGAGGGCCACCATCTGCATTTGGATCCAAATGGGTCTCAGGAACATGCTTTGCACCCTCGTGGATGTATTCCTTGCCTGTAATGTTTCCATAGATGTTTCTCCCTCTTCTCRTAGAAGGGAATTCTCATAGAATTCTCCCCTATTTTCCTCAAGCTCAGTTCCCCATCCGTGCTTCCAGGCAACAGTATTCACCTACCGTGTGAGCAGGTGCACTCCAAGCAAGGAAGGCCCAGAAAGACACTTGCATTGGCCAGGGGGAAGGGAACACAGCCAGGACTGGAGTAACAGTTTCTTTAAGAAGCCTTTAACCATAAGGCAAACAGTACTTTCAAATCATTATTTAAATTATTATTATGAAAATATTTTAAAATATATTAAGGATTTCCATTGATGATATTTTCAGAAGTCATACTGTAATTAATACTGAACACYATCAGTTGAACTCAGCCTGAGTCATCTTACCTACTTCTCCCCCATCTGAATTTGCACATCCGCTTAATAATGTTCAATATACTCATTCTGAGGCAGAAATATTGTTTGGGGAATAGTTTCTCAGTTTTCCCTTTTCCTCCTTCTCCTGGGAAATTAGTGCAAGCCATCTGAAATACTTCACTATGCAATAAGCAGATTGAAAAGGCCAAAGTAGAAATGAATCTACCATTAATATATCTGTTTAATAATAATTTATTTATTTGTAATTGATACATCTACTGGGACAATTTAGGAGAGAAGGATTAGGGCTTCAGTAATAGGGTGAGCAAGGAAACGTGAAGAAGGTTCACCCTTTCCCAGAAATTAGTTGGCATATGTACAGCAGCAAAGTGCCGGTGCAATGGTGTCCTATGGGCAAATGGACCCAGGGCAAAAAGCAGCCTGCAACTAATTAACTCCATGTTCCCGCCAATTATACTTCATCCTTTTCAAACATCTGTTGCATGGCAAAAAATGCAAACCTTTTCAATGTTTTATGCATGCTGCCAGTCCCATAGCAATAAATTCAAAATTTAACATTTCACATTGTTCGTTCCTTCGTGAGTTTGGGTTTTAATGCCTCAGTCTAAAATTCCTATGTCTTTGAATTTTAGACATCAAAATAAAATTTTATATTTCTGCTAAAATCGCTTAGACTCTGTTCATGCTAGAATGCCATCTTGGGCATGAAAATGAGATTTCGAGCTRATGATATGGAGCAACCACCTTCTCGAGTGCAGTTAGCTTATCAACAAACACCCAGAAGGTCTTTCAGAGGACCTCAGTACTGCTTATTTCACAGTATTATATTCCTCACAGTTTCATAGTCACAGCACAATAACACACCTCTCTATAGCTGTACAGGGAAGGCCTGAATCTACACCAGTTGAAGCCAGCAAAGACAAAAGCTTTTTCTTTCAAACCTCCCTGCAATTAACGGTACTGACCTGCAACAATATTGTCCTCTCTTGGCTACATGGAGAGCTTTTCCTAAGCACAGCTTATATTCTGGAGAACATAGCACATGTAAGTCCACAAAAATAGATGCTTAGTAATTTTCAAAAAAAAAAAAAAATTAATCGTTTCAAGTCAAAACTTAACCATTCTGCAGGGATGCACACTGCAGTCTGACGGGAATTAAATCTTTGATCAAAAGCAGGCAACAAAATGAAAGTCTGCAAGAGAGTCATGTAGGATCCTAGAGACTGAGGTTCGGGGCCTTGACCAGCATCAAATAGACGAATGCTTGAAACTTGGTGTTGAAACAGGACTCCTAGGTCCTGTGTCCTGGAGAAGCACAGTAATCCAGTAGCTGTTACAGGTAGAGACGACGTGAAAAGTGTGATCCTTTCTGAGGCAAATTTCTGGAAAATATGAAATCCTCCAAGATGTCAGAGGAGAGGAGCACCATCTCCTGCTTAGTTCTCAGTATCTCAGTTATATGAAGACYGGTGTGCAGCAAAAAATGGTGTCTAATGCTGATGTTTTTGTAGCTTGGAGATTCTTCCATAGTTAGAGTTTCTTAAACTATAATCCTTTACAGATTTGACCCTCAGAAAGGGTTTTGGTGCCAGTTACTGGAAGGAGGGAAAACAAAGTGCCTGGGAAAAAGCAAAGGTCGAAAATACCCGCCAATGGATCAAGAGGTAAATGTTTTCCAGAGACTTACATTAAATTTGTTGAGTATGGGTATGTTGAATACTGCTTTTGACTACTGAAGTAAACACATTTGTTTTTATTTTTGTTAGCTTGATWTTTATTTTTAAAACTAGAAGCTCTTAATGAGCTTTGAATAATTTTATATGAATCACTCTTTAAAACAGCCTCTCTGTAGGAGCAGAGCCCAGCACCTAAGCATTAAGAGGGGGCCAACTGGTTTCTTGTAGCATTCTGATACAAGCAGGTGCYAAAACCTAGCATGAAGTGGCTTTAATTCCTTGACTGTGCTTTATTTTCTCACTGCTCTCAGTCTCGAGCTTTTCTGTCAAGCTACTACCGAGACCACAACGTGGAACTGTCCAAGCTGCTGCACAGACTGGGCCAGCCGCTGCCGTCGTGGCTGAGGCAGGAGCTGCAGAAAGCGAGGTAGCACTGACCCGCACAGCACCAAAGCCTCCAAGGACCATTTCCTTCACATAAAACCCTGCGCTTCTCCAACTCACTTGTGATCGTCAGTAGAGGACCTCATGAATAACGCTCTTTCTATAAAAAAAAAAATAAATAAATAAAATTAAAAAAAAGTAAAACTGTTTATGTGCACGCGCTGACGGTTATTAGCATCGACTCCTTTTGTCAGCCTCCAGGAAATAATAGAGACTTATATGGCATTATTTTGTATCCAAACTGGGATTTGTGCATAGTCTAGTCCCTCTGTTTGCCAGAAAGTACCAGAAACTGTGTGTAGGACTGATAGGCCTCGGTGTCTATGACCAGTTGCAGTCTGTCAGGACACAACAAGCAAAGGATGGGAACATCTCTCCTTGGATTATGAGGTCAGTCATTAGCTTGTTTGTTTTTCTTTTCTATTTTTTGAGAGTTTTGCTTTGTTTTGTTGCACATGTCTCCCCCAGCCCTGCGAGGTGAGAAATCAGCCACTTATAATTTTGTATTCAGCACTTTGCAGTCGGGCTCCTTAATTATTATATGTAATTTTTATTTATTATCGTTGTTTTCTTCAAAGCATTAGCAGCCTGAGATGGGCTAAATTCTTGACTAACCTGCTTGCCAGGAACTCCTGTAATAACCGATGCCCAGTGTATCCTCTTCCTCCTGTCTCTTTTCTCCCTTCCCAACAAGCTGCAGGCCGGTGCCGTGGAGCTGCGTGGCCGGCTGAGCTGCAGCACRGTGAGGTGACTTCTCCTCGTGGATCTCCAAGCTCTCCGTGAAACCCCGACTGCCATTTTCACCTGGCTGCTTTGCCACCTTGATAGTGGGTTTTGCTGGGTTCCTGCAGAACCTGTGGTAGAGCACTGACATGTGAAATTATGTGAAATAGCTTGTCATAATGCCATGACAATCGTTATAATATTATCAAAACAGTTAAAAAAAAAAATCTAGGCCGGTCATCAGAGCAGTGTACTGACAAAAATGTTGATGCTTTTGTTTCTGTCCTGGAAGCAGTGTTTTCACTCCAAAGCCTTCAAAATAGGAGATGGGGTTAGTCATTCAGAGTATTGTCTTAAAGCCATTTTGGAATAAAGTTTTAAAAGAGTTCAATGGCCAAGGGCATTTATTAAAGTTTTGGAGAACCTCCAGCCTGCTGAAGAAGCCTCTTTCTACAGACTTTCACAGAGCTGAACAGACAAGCATATCTACCATATACATATGATATATGCATTTTTATGCTGGTACATTTACATACTATATATCTGATTCAGACATACACTTAGTTTTATGTATCCACATAAAACATATGTTTAGAGACCATCTTCTTAAGTGTGCACATGACTTCAYTGCAGGTTCAATGATATTAACCTGCAATGATATTGAAGAGCTGTAAATCATGCTCAGGAAACCAGTGCAAATTAGAAAAAAAAATAGCATGGGCACACAAGGGAATATGGAAACATGGGAGCCTGAGAAAGACAGTGTTGCCCACTCTCATATTCTCCTGTACATATTGTAGTGGGATTTGTCTCACTTAAATGAGGCATCTGCCTCTGAAAGGTGTATTTAGACTTATTTCGTAGCTGATACAGAGAAATATCACCTGTAAGACACAGTTCATCTCATTCTAAAGTAGATTTGTTAGACGAGTGAGATTAATCTTGCCTTCTTCTCTCCATTGATTGCAATAGGATACTAGAGAACCAGTTTAGAGGCACAGCTCAATTGTAGAAGCTTAAAATTAGGTGTGTTAAAGGGAGCCCTGCAATTTCACCTCACAGCTGCGCATCTGAGGATACGAGGGCATTGGGAGGCTCTGTGAGAAAAGTTGGGTTTTGCATTGTTTTCTTAAGGCAATTTTCTAGCTATTATTGTGGGCAGTGGAGAACTGCAAAATGAACCAGGACCACCTAAACACCAAATAAAAGAAATTTGATGTGTAAAGTTTTTGGAAAAATGTTTCAAGTGAGTTACTTTCTTAACATCTAACTCGAGATCTTTTAATTTGTAGCACTGATAATGAGGAAGACTTAACTTCCTCATTACTTACTAGGATAAGTAGGGATTAGATGGAGAAGAATATATATCTAAATCATTTGGTAAAATTTTAGCTGCTAAAATGTATCAGAAGTAACTCATCCTTAMTTAAAAGATGGCTTCACATCTTTTGGGTTAAAGGTAAAGAAAAATGAAGTAAGTTTCAGGGGGTTCTCAAGGAAATGTGGCACATGCCATAAAATCTGGCAAATTCTTTCATTTAAGAAAAAAATAAATCAGTCTTTTCAARGCTGATTTCTATAATAGCATTATGCTCTTGAAATACAGTGGAGAGGTTTTGTAGCTCATTTCTATTTTTTCAGTTTGAATGGGCATCACTTTACCAGAAGATCTCGTGTGTCCCATTGAAAACTGACATCTGAAGTGACTTCATTATGTCTCTTATAAAGATGAAATAACAGCGTTTCAAAGCTTCATTCCCTCCACCCCTAACAGGAGCCATCAACAGAGTCTTTCTCCAGAGCGGCACAGGACAGAGGAGCCTCTGTGAACTCACTGTGAAAGAGCTCGATTTCCTTTATGCCTCTGCTTTCCCTGACCACCTAATTGTCGCGCTCCTTAAAGACCAGCAAAACAAATGCAACAAAAATAAAGCATTTATTCATGGAGAGGGGCCATAGCTGTGAACCATAACACTGGGCCTTACTTCTTATTCCAAAGCTACAGGATTCATCTCTACAATAATTTYGGGTGGAGAAGGCTGTAAATCAGGAGGGGTTTTGCATAGCAAAGGCCTGGAAGGCTGCAGCTGCTGTTTGCCCCCCTTCTCCTAGAAATACTTATTCCTGTGTATGTTTGATAAGGCACTGCCATTGCACAGACCTGAGAACAGTGGGGATCTTCCCAATAATTTTGGTAGCCCCCAAGCCAACTCCCAACCAAGGAGTTGGTTTCTATAAAGCAGTCAATGAGGCTGCAATTTCACATGGCTGTACTTGTATTCAAAACCCAGCCGCAGGTTGATTTCTATTCCCCAGTTGCCTTCATTTCCCTGCCTCTTTCCCTGTAATCAGCTCAGTGTCATGGCTAGAGCTACTGCACTGTGGTCCCCCCCAACTCAAACCCTTCATAGGATTGCACCAGCTTTGGCCTCRGCCTAATGCATGGGGCTGTGACTGCTCCACCTTCTTGTAGGAAACAGGATCTAGCAAGGGCTGACACCAAGTGTCCAGGGCTCTGGTAGCAGTTCTGATGATTAAAGGAGAACATCAGCACTCAGATAAGCAAGTTCATGTAAGAGAGGTTGTCTTTGGGCGAGAAGCAATCAGGATGGAATCTGAAAACTTCTAAATTATGCATTGACCTCTCAAGGTCTAGAATAAAGTTGCCAGATTAACTGCTTATAGACTTTTCTTTAATAAAACAAATTTTCTCTCTGATATGGAGTCAGGCTGCCAAGTGTACCCCAAACAAATTAAAATGGCAGAATTATAAATTCTTGGGGGAGGAAATTGTTGTGTAATGAAAGCACTGATGGGCCCAGACTTTCCAAAGTGATAATAAGGCAGCTGGGACATGCCCTGAATATGAAACAAAGCCAGACTCTTTTTCCTCTTATTCCCTCCTCCTCCCCTTACTCCTTGCTGGTGTTAAATTTGGAGACATCCCCTTAGACTAAGGAGTGTTATTCAACCAAAGATGTTTCTGTATAAATCTACCAGGACTTATTACTTGGAAGTTAATTTTTTTAAATATTCCTATTCTAAAAACATATATTTCCAGGAAAAAAAAAAAAAAAAAACTTGTTTTGTCCTTATTTTCTCTTTCTTTTTCCCCTTCCAGTTCATCCTTTTAGTTTGACTATAAAGGTATGGATTTGTCTATGGATTTGATTTTTCTGTCTAGCAAAGCTCCCAAAAAAGAATTATAGATTTTCAAGCAACACAGACTCTTAAATGTTAAATGCTCCAGTGACTGGATAACTTCTATAAGACTTGGTCTTATTTCTGTAGCATTTAAAACAAAAAGAGATCCTCTCGATAGACCCGAGGCATGGGGAATAATTACCCATTTTGCCCAAGGATTTTTTTCCCCCTCCACTTGACAACAGGAAATCCAGTTGTGCAAATACTTGGTGTTCAAGAAAAAAACAACCTAAATAAATTGTGATCACTGCAAGCTCTTTTGCTGAGGGGCAGTGAGGAAGAGCAAGCTCTGCATTTGCTGCGGTCGTTTTGGCTGACRCCAGTGATACCCCTGGTTTTGCAGAACAAACCCTTTTGAGGGCGTGCTCTTTGGAGGGCCCTTTTACTGGCTCCTCCACTTCTCCCTCTCCTTCCCCGAGCCAAATCGTGCTCCCTGGTGCCTCCACCACAACCCTCAGCTTGTGCATGGATCCGGCATCCCCTGCCGYGGCAGCTCCCCTGCACTCTGGACCATCCCCAGCCCAACACTCGGGAATTGGGGCTGCGAGCGGCACTGCCCCGTCCTTGTCCCAGGTCCTGCAGCTCTGGGCAGAGGACAGTAACACACGGTGGCCAGGTGGCCACTGACACGCATGGTCTGGTGTCATACGGGCCCCGGGCTCACCCGGAGTGGGTGTCCTGCACGGCCAGTGCGACCGGGCCGGGCCAGCACTGCCCAGTTATCGCACCGGCTTCCTTCTCTGCTCAGCTGGAGGGAGCGCAACAGGGCCTGACTTCAGCCCCTGCAAATTGCCTTGAGGGAGCTTCACACTGTGCGCTCAGAATTACCCATTACAGATATGTTTTTCTCTTCTAAAACACCGTATCTGCTCTTTTTTATTATAAGATATTCATTTGCTTTACAGACCTATGTCAGAATGAGGTTAAATCAAATCAAAGCCAAGGATTTTTAATATGAGACTTACAAAGTAGCAAATTACGCCGCCTCGCTGGGGCCTTTGTAGTTAAGTAAATTAAAAATGACATTATAGTCATCTTAATACCCATTTGGACGTTTTTTTCTGGATCTGTCTGATGTTTTCAGGCAAGGGAGACCTACTAGGTAAAATTTTCAAAATACTTAAGACTATAAGTCTCTTTTTCAAAAACTACATGTGGGCTTTAAGAAACCTAAAAGCTACTAGCTGTCTGGGATAATTATTTGTTATTAACCAAGTCAGGCAGATATATACTTTTAAAGGCCCTCACAGACATATGCCTGCGTACTTCTCTGGATCCCCAATGCCCTAATAAACCTAAATGATGACATTAATGAACAAATGTGACCAGGATTAGCTGCCCCTCAAAGTTGCTCATAATTTCTTGGTCATATCTCCCTTTTCCTTCTCATTCCCTCAGTGAGAAAGGAGTATGTGGAAATCAGGGCTGACAACCGATAATGTACTTAAACACTTTGATTTTTACTTAAAATAGGCTTTACAGGCTCGGTTGGGTTTCCTGATGGAGTCTTGTTTAGTAAAAGTACAGGAGAGCTCCTCTGTAAATGTATAATTTGCTTTAAAATTTCTTACAGGTTTCTATTACTTCCCAGAATCAGAGGATTCCTCCTCCCACAAATGGAAACACAGGCACCCAAAATAACATTCTGAGGTTCATTCTCTACTTTTGCAGAGGATTTAGTACACAGAAACCTTGTGAAGAGAGGAAAGCTCCTTTTTTGTATGTAAATGTCCAAATTTCAGCTAGAAATTGATTTATGGAATTATGGATATGAATTCTAAATGTGATTTATACTCCAATTTACTTTCATGAAGAATTAAAAATTGCCYAGGGAAAGCAGATTGGTATTCGCATTTCAGTCAGCCGTAGCTTTTAGCCGGTAAAAATAAATAAATATCTAAGCAGACCCATATCTTCCACTTCTCATTAACGAAGTCACTTTTCCAGATGCAGCTAAGTCTAATCAAACATGAGTGAGTTTTGTGCTATCCCTATTTCTCCCAAATAGTGATGTTCCATGACAATATACAGACCCACTTTCCTCTCGGAAGGTCAAACAGCTTTCTGAGCTGGGAGTCAGAATTTTCCTGTTTTTTTTTTTCCCCCCTTTTTCTGTGGGTTATATTCAGCAGGAGGAAGATTGACAGTGGGTGGACTCGGACTCCATAATCCGCCTAACTGGTGAGTCCATGCAACACAGTGGGTGTTGGAAACAGTGCCCTGTGGTTTGGAGATAACTGCAAATTCGCCACTCACCTGAGCCTTTGTGTGCCGCATTCCCAAATCCCAGCTCCATACTGCTCCCTCGCTGGACTTTCCTGCAAGCCACATCAGCCACTTCTCTTCTGAGGTGGAGCGGAATTATGAGAAAGAGCCAAATGTATGAGAGGATGAGTTCTCACCAAAACTTTCATTGACTTTCCATATGTTTATGAGTGTTCTTCATTAATATTTTTGCCTCCTTGTGTTTGCCTAGGGCAGGGGATCAGCCCTAGGGAGGGATCATCACCCTCTGTCCTCTAMAAAGCAACACGGTTCCTCTTAATACCAGAGGCAAATAGGTACCCTCATGGAGGAGAGATGGAGAGCATGAACCCAYCGAGAGAAAAGGTTATTTAATGACATTGTGGTGAGAGCACATCTTTCTGCAGGGCTTGGGGCAATCASGCTAAGTAAACAGAGAAAAAATTTT